ATAAGATATATTTGGCAAATAAAAGACTCCAAATATGAAATAAAAATTGTCAAATGCTTCACTTGCAGACATACATAAAATTAATAATAAAAACATTTCTTGAATATTTTTAAATGTTTTATTTATACATAAACATGAGAATACACCCCCTAATCTTCCTAGTCTCGTGAATTGGATTAAAGTTCATTATTGACAGTACATCGTCCACACAACTTAGAATTAGGGCAGCTTTAGCACTAGTCTATTATTATTGGTGGACATTTGTTTCTAAGTATTCCATTAATATAAGTGGCAAATATATAATCACCGCACCCTTACATGGACACATCCATATGGATTCAAAGATGTATAAGAGTCTAAACTCCAAGCTTTGAAAAAGGTTCAAATCTTCCTAAAAAGAGCTTTATCTTATTCTTTTAACACATGTTCATGATTACAAGACCTTCATTCCTAACCTAAAATAGTTATCACATTTTTAAAAACAGTGTTATCTAAACACTTTTAAATGCGACAACTGCTAACTAATTAGTTGGTTATAATTGTATAACTAGTTAATTGATTTGCATAAAAATCATAATTTTATAATTTTTTTTATTTTAAATCTATTCCACAAGTAAAAATATACATTTTTATCTAATTTATAGACTTTAAAATATATTTTAATTAAAAACTTAAAAAATTGTTGTATCAGTGTGTAAATCTCATAAGTGATTCTAAGCCATCAGACATATATTTTTTTTTAATTAAATAAGAATTTATTCTAGATAAATTATACGAATGACCTAATATATATATTTATGGATTAATATGACAGGTTTGGACTTCAAAGTCCAAACTTTAACTATTTTAATAGCTTTGTGATTTTTCTCATAACCAATTGATTAGTTCAACAAACCAACTGATTAATTAATCCTGAATTTAAATAGATATTACAATTACATACAACAACATCAATCTAAATTTTATCGTGGTTTCCAAACATGATATTTAAAAATATATTATTTTGCTTAAACATTTTACCTTTATGAAATTTTTCTATTTATTTAAAATTTTATGCTAATTTTATAATTTATCCATATAAACTTTTCACTGCATGGTACTTATTGGTTGGTTTACACATGTAAAATAATCATTTATCAATACTAAAAAATAAAAATAAATTGGGCAAAAAACATATAAAATGCAAAAAAATAGTAAAATGTAAAAAAATAATGAAATGATAAAAAAAACAAAAAAATTTGGTGAAATGGTTCTTTTTAAAATTTAGTAGTTCAGAATTATAATATTTAACTAATGTAATGATTTAAAAATACAATATTTCATTATATATTATTATTGAAAATCATGATATCAATTATAATTATGTCACGGTTATCACCTACTACCTTCAATGAAATGCCTACATGATGAACAAGTTTTTCTTTTTTTTTAAAAAAAAGTTATTTGTCACTTTCTCTACGTAACTAACCACTTTTTTGCCATTTTCCGCTGTCACATCTTTAGCTTTTACTGCATGCTCTGCGACATGCTCTGAAGTTTTCTCATCACTTTCAACAATGGTGTCTTTTACTTGCGCTCACTTTTCTGTTAATGGAAATAGTGTTTTTGAAAAGATTATTTTTATTTTGGATATTTTTTTAAAATAATTTTTTTATAAAAAATATTATTTTAATATATTTTTACATAAATAATATTTTAAAAACCAAACACAACAATACTTCTAACGAAGCCTAGCCCTTTCAACAATGGTGTGCTTTACCTGTGCTCCTTTCTCTGCAAGATAATGGATAGTTTTTTTATTCCCTTCAACAACAGTGTTTTCCTCCCCTAACCTGCAGCCTACTGGGTGGATTTTTTAGGCTATTCTATTTTTGTGTTCGAGGTAGTTTCTGTAATTGAAATTTTAATTTTTGTTTTAAAAAAATATAATGAACTGTAATTAGTTAAATTTAAATATATTTTTAATAAAAATTATAATTAAAATTTACATGTAACAAAAAAAATTATATAAAAAATTTAGTAATTATATTTAAGAGTATGGTTGTGATTATTTTTCAAAGTTTTTTTTTTTTTTGGAATAAATTAAAATAATATTTTTTATATTTTAAAAATTATTTTTAATATTAGTATATTACAATAATATGAAAATACCAAAAAATGTTAATTTAAATCAAATAAAAATATAAAAATTTTAATTTTTTAAAAAATATTTTTATAACTCAAAATCAAACACAATTTTAAAATTTTTTACAAAACTCAATTAAAAAAATATAAAAACTGCTACATACAAACCATGTTTTAAACTTAATTTTTCAGTGAACACAACAACCAGCGAAAAACTAACACAACCTTCAACTACAGTGTCTTTTGTCAAGGCTCCCTTCTCCGCAACTTGCTAAGCACCTTCAAGACAGTGCCTAGCTTGAGATGGCTTCTCTGCAATCTGTTGAGATGTCGTGATATTTCATCAAAAAATAAATAAAATTAAACAATATTATTTTGTAAAAACTTTAAATTTACTGTTTTTTGTAAGAAAATCCAAAAACAGGGGGAGTCCATATATATATTAAAAAAAAGAGGTAGTGGGCTTGAAAATTTCAACAGCTATAGATATCACCTATACAGTCCTTTTCACCTTACATTCCACCTGTGACAAATTGACAATTACATTCCAAATATTATAGTGCTCAGGACACGACAAAGGAGTGTTTAGTTTTTTCTTTTTTTGAAAATATAATAAAATAATTTTTTAGATTTTTTATTTTTAATATTAATACATTAAAACTATAAAAAAATATTAATTTAATATAATATTTTTTTCAAGTTAAAAGTATTTTTAAAACACCTAAAAACAAAATTAAACACTCCTAAAAAAGAAAAAAGAAAAAAGAAAAACCAAGCAAGAGTGTTTCAACTTTCAAGGATAAAGATCCACGCATCCGCATATATTTTTTAACTAACAAAAGATTGAGTCAAGATTTTCAAAGCTGAGGATCATAATTAGAAACACGACAACTAGAGTAGCATGCCCACCCGACCACCTCCATTATTCAATAAATCAAATGTTCCCTTTTTCAAACTTACTTTTGCTAATATACCACCACCTGACATTTTTACATGTACGTTGTACTGTTTGTTTGTTGATTGCCCTCTTTTGTTTTTTTTTAAAAAATCTTAATTTTCAAGATTATAAAATTAATTAAAATATATAATAATTAGTCTGTTAATTTTTTTCTATTTATTTTTCTATTTCAAAAATATTTTTAAAAATATTTAATATTTAATATTTATTTATTTTAAATTAATATATTTTAAATGTTTTAAAATAATTTTGATGTGATAACATTAAAAATAATTTTTAAAAAATAAAAAATATTATTTTAATATAACCTGAAACTCAAATCTTCCCTGCCCCATGCTTGCGTTTTCGATCACATGATAAGCCTGATCCTTTCAGTAAGGTGTTGCGGTCACCACGCATACTAATCATGGTTTCTAGTCTATAATTCTTTCTCAAGCATGTTCGTTAAAAAAACATATCGTGTTTTTTATTTTATTTTATTTATTTATCTTACAATTAGGGCCGTCCATCTCATAAGCTAGCTTTCTTGTGTCGAAATTAAATGCATTTATTCAATTTTATTAAAAATTAATTATCCAATTTTAGTTTTCGTAGTTAATTTAAGAATATAAATCTTAATGATTAAATTAAAAAAAACTTCTTCAAACCTAAAACTCAAATATTTCCTGAAAGCTTTGTGCAAAGTTATTAAATTGTATCTTTTAAAGTTTTATTTTTTTATTTAATATTTTTTTTTTATTTTTTTATCATATGATAATATTAAAAATAATTTTTAAAAAATAAAAAATATTATTTTAATATAACCTGAAACTCAAATCTTCCCTGCCCCATGCTTGCGTTTTCGATCACATGATAAGCCTGATCCTTTCAGTAAGGTGTTGCGGTCACCACGCATACTAATCATGGTTTCTAGTCTATAATTCTTTCTCAAGCATGTTCGTTAAAAAAACATATCGTGTTTTTTATTTTATTTTATTTATTTATCTTACAATTAGGGCCGTCCATCTCATAAGCTAGCTTTCTTGTGTCGAAATTAAATGCATTTATTCAATTTTATTAAAAATTAATTATCCAATTTTAGTTTTCGTAGTTAATTTAAGAATATAAATCTTAATGATTAAATTAAAAAAAACTTCTTCAAACCTAAAACTCAAATATTTCCTGAAAGCTTTGTGCAAAGTTATTAAATTGTATCTTTTAAAGTTTTATTTTTTTATTTAATATTTTTTTTATTTTTTTTATCATGTGATAATATTAAAAATAATTTTTAAAAAATAAAAAAATATTTTAATATATTTTTTTAGTAATTTTTTTTTAAATATCAATCTCGTTTATTTTGTAATTTTTAGTAATTTTTTTTTTAAAATATCAATCTCGTTTATTTTGTAATTTTAAAAATATTTTTAAAATTCAAAAACACTTTAAAAAATACTTTTAAAAACCGAGTTTTGAACAAAACTCGGTTTGCGCTGCGCTGAAAATTGGAGCTTCTCCATGGATAAAGATACGCTTTTCTTTTCTTTTACTGTTACCAACCCACTCTCCATCTGACAAAAATAGCCTCATCTCCCCCCAAATCTTTCACGCATCAAGGAGATCTGTTATAGCCTCCAATCTTTGTGCCAACGACATGCTCCAAACTGGAACCAGTATATGGTTCAACCCTCTAACCTCCAAAAGTTTTATGCTTCAAACTGGAACCCGTATACGGTTCAACTCCAGCGAGCTATGCTTTGGGTTTTTGACAATTAAAATGGCGGGACTTGGTATTGCTTGTAGCGGTGAAGACGGTGGTGTGATTGGGTATGGGTTTAATTGGTGTTTGGGTGGGTGATTATTGTGTTGTTGGGAGAAGTTTAATTGTCGTGTCAATTGTCGTTAGGTATGATTGTTGCTCGTTCAGACTTCAATGGGTTATGGTGGCGGTGTTTACAAAGGTGTCGTGCGGAGGCAGAGGGGGGGGAATGAAGAAGTAGAGGTGAACAAATGAAGAGGTTGAGCATGTTGCTTGCTGGATTTTGTTCAGTTTTTCTAATTGTGATGGATTATATTGACAAGGACGATGATGACGAGGATTCTGGAAAGGAAGAGGGAGGAAAAGCTTTGAATTTTTATTTTCTATTTTCTAATTTTACTTAACTTTTATTTTGATTTTTGTATTTAAATGGAAAAGAAAAGGTTTGTAATATGTTTTATTAATGAAAAATAAA